GGGGTTTTGGGGGTCCCATGTGGGATCTCGAGGGGTTCCTGGTGGAACTGGTGGGGTTTTGGGGGTCCCATGTGGGATCTCAAGGGGTTTCTGGTGGTCCCAAGGGGGATCTCAAGGAGTTCTTGGTGGCCCACAGGGGTTCTCAAGGGGTTCTTGGTGGTCCCATGGGGTCTTGGGGGTCCCAAGGGGGATCTCAAGGGGTTCCTGGTGGCCCTGGGGAGGTTCTGGGGGTCCCACAGAGCCTCCAAGGGGTTCCTGGTAGCCCTGGTGGTCCCAAGGGGGATCTCAAGGGGTTCCTGGTGGGCCTGGGGAGGTTCTGGGGGTCCCGTGGGGGATCTCAAGGGATTCCTGGTGGTCCTGATGGGGTCTTGGGGGTCCCAAGGGGGATCCCAAGGGGATCCTGGTGGTCCTGGGAATTCCTGGTGGCCCCAGGAGGGCTCCCCAGCTGTCCCTGGTGTCCCACAGGGGTTCCTGGTGGCCCTGATGAGATCCTGGTGGTCCCAAGGGGGATCTCAGGGGGTTCCTGGTGGCCCCAGGAGGGCTCCCCAGGTGTCCCCTCACCTCCTCGTTGAAGAGCCGCCCGGCGCTGTCCTTCTTGGCCAGGTCCAGGTACTGCACCTGCCCGGCCGAGAAGCCGACCAGCAGCGCCAGGGTCTCGGCGCCCGCCGTGAACTGGTTGAAGTCGTGGCAGGTGGGCTGAGTGCCCTTGTAGACGCGCTTGTCGATGGGCCGGTGCAGGTCCAGGGACTGCGGGGACACCGGCACCGGGCACTGTCACCAGCCCTGGGTCATTGTCACCACCCCTGGGTCACTGTCATCAATCTCAGGGTCACTGTCACCACCCCTGGGGTCACTGTCATCAATCTCAGGGTCATTGTCACCACCCCTGGGGTCATTGTCACCAACCTTGAGGTCACTGTCACCACCCTGGGGCCACTGTCATCAATCTCAGGGTCACTGTCACCACCCCTGGGGTCACTGTCATCAATCTCAGGGTCATTGTCACCACCCCTGGGGTCATTGTCACCAACCTTGAGGTCACTGTCACCACCCTGGGGCCACTGTCATCAATCTCAGGGTCACTGTCACCACCCCTGGGGTCACTGTCATCAATCTCAGGGTCATTGTCACCACCCCTGGGGTCATTGTCACCAACCTTGAGGTCACTGTCACCACCCTGGGGCCACTGTCATCAATCTCAGGGTCACTGTCACCACCCCTGGGGTCACTGTCATCAATCTCAGGGTCATTGTCACCACCCCTGGGGTCATTGTCACCAACCTTGAGGTCACTGTCACCACCCTGGGGCCACTGTCATCAATCTCAGGGTCACTGTCACCACCCCTGGGGTCACTGTCATCAATCTCAGGGTCATTGTCACCACCCCTGGGGTCATTGTCACCAACCTTGAGGTCACTGTCACCACCCTGGGGCCACTGTCATCAATCTCAGGGTCACTGTCACCACCCCTGGGGTCACTGTCATCAATCTCAGGGTCATTGTCACCACCCCTGGGGTCATTGTCACCAACCTTGAGGTCACTGTCACCACCCTGGGGCCACTGTCATCAATCTCAGGGTCACTGTCACCACCCCTGGGGTCACTGTCATCAATCTCAGGGTCATTGTCACCACCCCTGGGGTCATTGTCACCAACCTTGAGGTCACTGTCACCACCCTGGGGCCACTGTCATCAATCTCAGGGTCACTGTCACCACCCCTGGGGTCACTGTCATCAATCTCAGGGTCATTGTCACCACCCCTGGGGTCATTGTCACCAACCTTGAGGTCACTGTCACCACCCTGGGGCCACTGTCATCAATCTCAGGGTCACTGTCACCACCCCTGGGGTCACTGTCATCAATCTCAGGGTCATTGTCACCACCCCTGGGGTCATTGTCACCAACCTTGAGGTCACTGTCACCACCCTGGGGCCACTGTCATCAATCTCAGGGTCACTGTCACCACCCCTGGGGTCACTGTCATCAATCTCAGGGTCATTGTCACCACCCCTGGGGTCATTGTCACCAACCTTGAGGTCACTGTCACCACCCTGGGGCCACTGTCATCAATCTCAGGGTCACTGTCACCACCCCTGGGGTCACTGTCATCAATCTCAGGGTCATTGTCACCACCCCTGGGGTCATTGTCACCAACCTTGAGGTCACTGTCATCAATCTCAGGGTCATTTTCACCAATTCTGGGGTCATTGTCACCACCCCTGGGTCATTGTCATTCATTTTGGGGTCATTGTCACCAATTCTGGGGTCACCTTTTCCCGCCATTTCCCCCGTTATTCCCCCCCCAAAACCCCACTGCCCCCAGACCCCAAATCCCCC